GAGTATGGACAGTTTGAGGCTAAAATTGATCAGCTTCGTCGAGATCTGATGAGTGGTGGAGCGGTAACCTTTGGTGCTGCACGTAAAGAGCTTTTTGTCAGGTACTATCGGAATGTATCCGTAGTGAAGTTTTCATTTTCTAGGATATGAAGTCAGTTGACGATTTTTTCAGAGCCATGTTTGACTACGATCCAGCACGTGAGGCGGGTGTTCCGCATCGTGCCTTACCTTTCTTTTATGGTGACATTTTACATATTACAAACGTTGCGGACGATGACTGGTGGACAGCACGTTTGGTTACGGAAAGCGGTGAAGAAGGTATGGAAGGGATTATTCCATCCAAAAAGAGAGTTGAAAAGAAGGAACGACAACGGAGAAAACAGGTAGAGGTGGTTTTGACGTGAAATTCGTTTACGAACATGTATATTTATGTGCGAGTAATTTCTGAAAGTCTTTCATAATTCATTTTCATGGATAGTACCACCATTTCTTCCGATTTTAAGGTTTTTTGCGAAATAATTTGTTTTTTATTTCTTTTTTCATAATTATTAACGAGGTTTCATGAAAATGATCAGGTTTGAGAAGGTTGAGTTTCTTCCATGTTTCTTATATATTATATTATAGGTTTTAAGTTTTTATTGATTCCTTTTATTTACACGGAGAAAGATTATTTTTTTATTAAAAATACTCAAATCGGAATGAACTTACTTCCATCAAATTTCTTATGGGCTTTTTTTCGAAATTAGTGTCTTTAATCAGAAATCATACATCTTTTATTGATGTGAAACGTTTCATCAGAAATCATCATTTCAAGCTTCAAAGATTTTTAGGTGAATTTTAATGCTGGTAGTCAAAGTCTTCCTCGAGGTATGGATGGACGCCGTGGTTCACGTTCACAGCTGTCATTCTCGCGTAAATTTCCATTCGTTAAGAGTACCGATAAGCTTAACGAATTTACTGATAATGAACGTAAGTTTATTACAATTTTCAGCTTGATCTGTTTCTTTTTAACGCTTATAAATATGAGATTACAAAAGCTTTGGCTGTTATTGATATTCGAAACGTGATGTAATGACTGTGAGATTTTTTTGTTGATCGTATCACTGTGAAATTTCCTTAGATGGTACAACTTATACATCGTACACCACAAGCGATAGTGATTACTGTAAGTTTTTCATGGTGTGATGTGTGTGTTATCTGATTTTATTTGTTATATGTTTAACAAAATTTACTAATTCATAGTGTTTTCTTAACTGGAAAAAGGGAAATTGTGAAAAGTTGAAAATCTAATATACATGAATGATTTAATACAATTACTTTATTTGTGTTCTTTATTCGTGAAACTGCAGTTTGTGACTTTTTTCCAAGTCAAAGTGTAGAAGTCTGCATTATTTTTTTATTTCATACTCAGAAGATAACATTTTTGTTTTATTTGCAAATATTGAACGAAGATTATTTCTATTCGAATTTTAAAATAGTAATTGCTTTTTAAAATTACTACTTTCATTTTTGTATTTTAGTTGGTACAAGTGAAGATCCAATTATGTCATATGTCGCAGTGGAACGTCAGCAAAGTAACCATTACTCTTAGTATTCTTGTCTAGATTTTATTTTTTTCCGCTGTCAGGTGAATCCCTGCAGAGGCTATTTTATTCCAATGAATCTTTGCAGGAGCTATTTTATTCCAACGACTGGTGTCAAAAAGTTCACTTAATCGAAAATTTTGTTATTGCAAATATACTTCATGTTTCAATATATCATTTTTTAAAGATAAATTTATTCTGTTTCTCACATTTCGCTTTAATAAAGTTTTCCTTATTTTAGTAAATTATCCACGTCCAGTTATTATTCTTGGAGCAATGAAAGATCGCATCAATGATGAATTAGTACTCCGTGATCGAGATCGATTTAGTAGTTGCGTTCCGCGTATGTTATTTTTCAACAGCATGAAAAGAATGAATAATATACAGAGCAATTTTTATATTATTAGTTAACTATTAAATTATTTTATTTTGAATTGTAGAAGTAAGATATTACAGATACCAGCCGACCTCCGAAACCGAATGAAGTAGATGGTCGTGACTATCATTTTGTTTCAAAGGAACAAATGCAAGAAGATGTTCGAAACAACCAGTTTATTGAAGCTGGACAATTTCAAGATAATCTTTATGGCACAAGCATTAATTCTGTTCGTGAAGTTGCAGAAATGGTATGTGAGCTTTGAAAGAATATTTAAAGGATTGCACATTGTGGCATTTCTGTAATCATGAAATCATTAGATTCTTGTAGATCAGAATAAAATAGCCATGATTGAGCTATGAATATATATTCTGATTATTATTAACATTGAGAATTGCTTATTTTTGAGAGAAAAATTAGATCAAATATTCGATTTGATTATATCACACTTCTATAGTTAAGGAATTAACTTCATAATTGTAGGGTCGGCATTGCATTCTCGATGTAAGTGGAAATGCCATCCGTAGATTACAGTCTATTGCTAACATATACCCAATAGCAGTCTTCGTGAAACCACAGACGCCACATCAAATTATGTGAGTAATTTATCTAAGTTTAACATTTTTCGTAATTTTCCCCAACAGTATGTGTGCAGTGCATGTTCATACTATAAACTGTATATCGGACTCAGTCATGCAGTGACCCGATGATTTCAACCATTAAAACCTTTCTTTTAATTCATCTATTAAAACTGACTTAATTCTAAAGTTCTTGAATTAAATTGCAAGCCCTAATTTATGAAGTGCTTGAAAATTCTTGTAGGGAGTGGGATCACTCGATAAATGAAGATGACGCTCATATTATATATCAACGATGTCAGAGAACGGAACAAAACTTTGGAGATTTGTTCACTGGTGAGTATTTATTTTTTGTTTTATCTAATTAATCCACCAACAGATTGTAATTCCAATTCTTTCTCTTCACATTTTTTTTCATATAGTAACTTTATCTTTCCTCATTCTTTTAAATAACATACCACTATTATTATAGACAGGATCAGTTCATTTTTTCTCAATACACAGTTTTTTTGTTTTAGCTATTGTAAGCGGTCAAACGTTCGAAGATCTCTTACGTCGTGTTCTGAACGTTATTGCGGAACAGTCACGACCTCATGCTTGGGTACCATCACGAGCACAAGTCTTTTAAACCTCTTTTGCTTGTTTATATAAAGAACTTTTTTTTAAAGAATCCTGTTGTGAACTTTCCTATTTTACAAAAAATTTTGTTCAGTCCGATGTCAAAATATTAGTCAGTTAAACTTTATATTAACCAATTTTGAAAAACTAACTTCAAAAAAGTTTTGCAAACCGCGTTCAAAAGATTTATATGAGATCTAATGTGCACATTTTTTTATGTAGTTCCGTTATTTTTATTTTTATCCAAAAATAAACTTGACGGAATAATCTAACTACAGTGGCGAAATAATTTAAGATGAACAATTTGTTGGCAACAAACTATAGACTGATCGTATTTTTGGTTTGAAATTTCAAAAATTGTCGAAATGTTTTCTGAGTTTTATCTGTTTAAAGCGAGGAAAATTATTGTCTTGATATCTGTGCAGCTCTGCTTTTTCTATAAATTGTGATTGATTGATATAATGCCATTTTTTATCTTACGCAGTTATTATATTAGTCTTTGGTTTATTTGAATATATTTTTCGATTTTTTTAAAAATTTTTTCCAAGATTTTTTTTTTGCTATAATTTGACTTATCAAGAGTACAAAGAGGAAGGATTTTTAAGAATAAGTTCTTGAAATTTTGAAAGCTTCGGAATTGCAAACAACAATCAATTTTCTGAACTATTTAGATAAGGAAATAGAAATTTGGAAAGTACATTATTTGATCGTTATAGGAAAAATTCTGCTGCAGTATGCAAAATTTTTCATTCTTTCTTGTTCATTTGAACAAAACAGTATCCTTCTGGGTAGTATGGTACCTGTGAAGTTCTGATTCATGCAATGGTGTGAAACTTCGATATGTCAAAAAAAAACCTTAGATTGAAAAAATGAAGCATATCATTATTTTATTTCATATTTCATTACTGTTTTACCCATTCTTACTCATTGCTCTTTTTCAAGGTTGTGATTCTATTAATTTGTTACATTGTTTTGAAAAAAATAGCATTGCGGGAAAATGCGATTCATATTCCGTATAGAAATAGTCTTGAATGCTTTTTTTCTCTAAAGTTTCCACAAGAAATTGTGCATATGAGAAGAGATGCATTCCTGTTCTTAAGATGGACACTGTAAGATGGGACAAGACTTTTGTAGTACACGAGCACGAGAGTCAGCAGGATTTGGAACACCGTTTATTCATCGATTGGATGCGCATGGAGTGGACCGTATTTTCATCCAATTTTTTTTCTCTTTTAACGGATAAAAAGTACAAAAAGCTCATTTGTCGCATACAACTCATTTTATTTAAAAATTATTGGTTTTACTGGTGTATCCTTACTTTAAGTGTACCAATTTCTCTTCTTTTTTTCCCAAATATTAATTGTTGCAGAGGTTTTGTCATGCACACTCTCGTGTATTGTGTTTGAGATCTATGATAAATAAACTTGTGGTATTTTAAAAATTTGAAAATTTTGCAATGCAAATAGAGAGAAAGAGCAATTTTCAACAAAGCTATTTTAGGATTTGACCGAATTATCGCGATACAGTTGACATTCTCGATCATTTTAGCTTACGTATGTGTTGTTGACAGATTTAATTTACGTTTCAAACAAATAACTTCCAAATATTCCTGTTGCACATATTACGTGATGAAAGAATGACACACGAAGTCCTATTTGCACACTTTTAGATACCACTAACAATCCCTTTGCTGTATTTCATTACTTAAATCAGTTTTATGCATGAAAAAATATTTAAAAACTATTAAGGTAATATATACTGCAATCTATACCGTATAAGTTAAATTCATTTTAACCATTAATCGTAATCGTAATAATGATAAAGAATGATTATAACAAGAATTATTCATAACGGTTGCAAACAAATATCATCATTAACACTATCTGATTCTAATTCGTATGAAAAGTCGGATGGTTCATGGTCTACCTGTTGCCATGGACCACGCCAACGATTTATAAAAATTTGGTTGATAAATAGTGATGATGGTGCTTCTACCTAAAAACAAAAAAACAAAAAACAAAAGCAAAATAAAAGTTATGAAATAAATATATTTGTTTTAAGCATTAATACTCCAAACAATTTACTCGGGAGTTTCAAGCTAAACTTTACTTGATAATAAAATAAAATTTTCGTTAATTTTTACAAAAAGTGGTGCAAAAAATGGAACAGAAAAGTAAAACTTCGTGTACTAGCATTATCATTTTTTAATTTTGTCACATATGAGGAAAGGGATTTGAATGAAAATTATAATTAATTACCGAGGTTTCCGACTGCGTCTGTGGTGTTATTGGCGGTAATTTTTTTGATATCGATTTTGCTCTTGGTCGTACAGCTGCAAGTGGTGCAGTAACTGGTGGCGTTTGTTTGGATGGCTTAGGTAATTCAGCTGACTTTACAGCTGCTTCAATGCTGGCTGCAATTTGTGATACCTTCGCTTTCCTTGCTGAATCTGTCACGTCCATCGTCGATTGCATTCGATGCTGAAACATCACCAAAAAAAAATGTTTTTTTCACTCTTAATTGCTATCAAGAATTGGAAATAAGTCTGCTCAATAAAAGTTTATTCATATTTGTTAAGCCATGATAAATGAAAAAACTTTGTTAATATCTTGTTCTTTGCTCAATTACTGTCATATTCGAATTCCGGAACCCATCCAATATACTTACCTGTCGTCTTTGTTCATAACCGCTACGCTTTCTTCGTTTTGCTCTTTCTCCTTGCCGCTTGAGCACACAATATAATAGAAGAAATATGGAAATAACAAGGAGAATGACGAGAATTACCAAAACAATACTCAATGCTAGTACAACTCCCGGTTTTCCCGCCGGTGCTTCAGTTGAGGTTATTAATGACGGCATTCTAATCAGACCTTGTAGTATCATATTTCCTATAGAAATTCATTTCGTTCTTTTTTAATATGTTTCGATATAATTCATGATATCTACACAGCTATATTACTTGTAGAATTTTATGTTATAAAAGGGACTGATGCCGTGTTCGGATAATAGAAGTGTAGCGACCTGTATACATTTATGTACGGCAAGAGTTCATTCGTTTTGCATAATCGCTAACAATGAATATTTCTTGAAAAACACTTTAACAGTGTAAAATGTTTTTAAAAAGATAGTGGCAATTTTCAATAAAATTTTTGAAATACTATTCTGCATTTTCCAACTTAAAAAAAAGCTGTATATGAATAAATTATTGCTCTCGGGAATTTTTCTGAAGTATGCCATTTAATATAAATGAATTATCAACAATATAATATTACGTAAAAATGAATCATCTCTAGACAATATATCAGTCAAAAAGGTGAAAATTGTGAAAGATACCGGCAATGGCATCATCATCTTCAAAAGAATCTGCTTCGTCTGAGGTGTTGAAGGCATTATACATATTATCAATTTAGGATAATGTAATATAGTATGTTTAATGAACCGCTTATTTATATTTCAATAGCTAACAATAGCCAATTTCGTAGCCAGAAAATTATTTATAATTGCTCAGTTAGTATCGAATGCACAAAATTGTTATACACGAAAAATATTTATGCAAAAAAAAATGAATGAAAAAAGAAATTAAATTAGATTTTTAGATTTCATTATTTTAATAAAATATTGAAAAATGTTGAAAGAGGTATCATAGATGATCAAAAGTGTTGGTACCATGGCAAGTGCCATTTCTTTTTGCCTTATTTTGATAGAATTGAATCAGTAATTTACTTAGTAATTCACCTAGTAATTCACTTAGATATTATTTTGGTAAGAATTATGAATCGCATCACCTACTTATCAATAAATTTCCTGTTAAAAATAAATATCAGTTTCTACTAGATAATCATTGCACCCAAACACCTTAGTGATATCTGATAAGTAGGAATGAATTCGTAGTATAGTTTGATGGATATCGCTTATTAAATTCTTTCGATTTCATATAATTTTCTCACTTCATTTTTCTTCAATTCTTATCTCTGCTTACATAAATTATGTCGAGTTTATCAGATATGGGACGCTAATACAATTTCCCTGGAAAATTTTTGCTCGAATAGTATCTCCTATCACAAACTCTACAGTATACGCAGCCATTTGGATGCAATTCGTTTTGGCCATAAATCGCTTATGGGCGGTTTCATATCCGTTAACATATCACCGCATCTTTAATTCAAGAAATGTTCGAGTAACAGCCGTATCACTATGGTCATTCAGTATGCTGATCACCGTGCTTTATTACAACGGTATTGTTTAATTTGTTTATAATAAAGATGCTGAGATACTAGCTAATTATCTAATTGAAGAAATTTAAAAAAAAAATTTATAGTTGAATGCAGAGAGTACTTCGAAGCAGACATATATTCATGGTCAGTCTGTATGGACCGTGCAATCACTCTTCTCTTGCTTATATTGCTATGATCATATCTGACGGCATCATCCTCACAACTGTTATTATTAATGCTGTTGCTTTTTACCGCAT